GATAATTTGAAGTTAATAGGAAGAGGGGTAGAAATTGACTTACAATTTTGCATGCTGAATCGTGATAAGATCTTCTTCAAGTAATTCTTTTGTGAAAGTCAAATCTTCCTATTACTTCTGTCTTGGTGAATTTGCATCCCTAGAATCTTGTTTACTGATCCCAATTCCTTCATTTCAAATTCCCTAGCCAGTTGTGCCTTCAATTCGTCAATATGATCTTTGTTGGGTCCTGCAACCAACATGCCATCCACATACAACAGCAATATAACAAAATCGTTATCACCAGACCTCTTGAAATAAGCACAAGGGTCTGCATTAAGTCTGTTGTATCCAAGGCACATAATGATGGAATCAAATCTCTTATACCAACACCTCGGCGCTTGCTTTAGACCGTACAGAGATTTGTTCAACCTGCAAACCAAGTTCTTCTTTTCGTCTTCTTCAAAACCTTCAGGCTGGAGCATATAAATCTCTTTTTCAAGATTTCCATGAAGAAAAGTTGTTTTAACATCTAGCTGTTCCAGATGTAAATTCAATGTAGCACACATTGCCAAGACTACTCGAACTGTTGTTAGTCGAACCACAGGAGAAAAAATTTCATTGAAATCAATACCTTATTTCTGAGCATATCCTTTAACCACCAGTCTTGTACGATACCTCTCCACTTGATCGTCACCATTTCGCTTGATTTTGAAAACCCATTTGTTACCAATTGGCTTCTTTCCTTGTGGTAGTGGCACAAGATCCCATGCATTATTTTTATGAAGGGCTTAGATTTCTTCTTGCATCGCCATCATCTACAATGAAGCATTTGAGCTGTTTATTGCCTCTTGGTATGTTGATGGCTCACTGTCCTCTGTTAAAAGATAGTATGCAACATTTCCTTCTATAACATAATCTGAGTGCCAATTGGGACATCTTCTCACACGATATGATTGACGAGTTGTTGGAGCTTCAGAACTCTCTGGTTCTTGTTTCATGTGCTTTCTGCTTCAGAAGAATCTCCTTGTTCAAACTCTTTTCCACATGTATCTGTGTAGTCTCTGACTTTTCAGCACTGTCATCGTCTTTTTTCTTTGTAGCTTATCTTCTACAAAGAACATCCCTGCTAATGATCACTTTGCGGGAAGTGGGATCCCACAAGCGATATACCCTTTACTCCATCAGCATACCCTAAGAATTTGCATTTCCTAGATTTGGATCCAGCTTTGAAATTTCTTGGAGTCCACATCCAGGTGGTATTGACTGCTTCTGCCCAGAATGATTTTTCTAGGCCTGCATCCCTCAACATTGCTCTTGTTCTTTCTAACAAGGTTCTGTTCATCCGCTCCGCCACTCCATTTTGTTGAGGAGTATTCGCCACTGTGAACTGTCTTTTGATGCTTTCTTTCCTGCAAAAGTCATCAAATTCTTCGCTTGTGTATTATCCTCCATTATCTGTTCTAAAACACTTGATCTTATTTCCAGAATCAAGTTCCACCCGCGCCTTGAAGTTTTTGAAAGTTGAAAATACGTCTGACTTCTTCTTGATAGGGTACACCCAACATCTCCTGGAGTAGTCATTAATAAATGAGACAAAGTATTTTGCTCCACCTAGGGATGTAACTGGTGCTTGCCATACATCAGAGTGAACCAGTTCTAGAACACTTTTGCCTCTAGAATTTGATTTGTTGAATTTCAACCGGTGCTGCTTACTTGTTATGCAATGCTCACACAAAGGAAGTGATACCTTTGTTAAGCCTGGAAGTAGCTTTTGCTCCACAAGGACTTTCATTCCTTGTTCTGACATGTGTCCAAGTTTTTGATGCCATAACATTGCAGAATCTGAACTACATGAGGCAACAGAGGCTTCTGCTTCTAGCAAAGTCTCTCCCTTCAGCATGTACAAGTTTGCTGCTATCTTTTCGCCTTTCAGCAAATCTTGCTTGCATTATTATCCAACAATCCGTAGGATAATAAAATTTTCTTCAGGCCTTTCACGTGCCGCACATCTCGAACAACTTTGATTGTTCCATCGTACATCTTCAATTTGATGGTTCCCACGCCAATGATCTCTAAGGCATGATCATTGCAACTATACACAGATCCTCCTAAGACAGGTTCATACTGATGGAACCATTCTCTTCTTGAGGTCATGTGATATGTTGCTCCCGAATCAATGAACCATATATCTGCAAATCATTTTCTACCTTCCACGTGGTGACGCTTCACAGCATAGAGCATCTCCATCTTTGTGACTGCTTTGGCCACGTTCTGTTGATCTCCTCTCGCGTTGTCAATGCTTCTGCTGTTGCAGATTTACTTGTCTGTCTTCCTTGTTCTTGCGCTGATTTTCTTCTTGTAGAATAGCAGCTGCAACATCATCGAAGACTAGACTGGTGAGATTACTGTTTGTCAAGTTGATGATGAGTTGATCGTACGAATCTGATAGACTTCGAAGTAGAAGTTCAACACGTTCTTGTTCTCCTATTTTACAGCTTAGGGATGTAAGCTGAGAAAATAAGGTGTTCAATGTATTTAAGTGCTCCGTCACTGAAGTAGATTCTGACATACGGAGAGTGTACAATTTCCTCTTAAGGAAAATTTTATTGTGCAACGATGTGGCCTTGTACAATTTGGTGAGATGATCACATATCTCCTTAGCTGTCTTCTTCTCCTCGATGCTTGACAATACTTCATCTGCTAATGCTAGATGAAAGTTTGCCATAGCATTCCCGCCCATCTCACTCCATTTGATGTCATCTGTGAAATCCACTGACCTTTCATTGATAGCCGCTAGACACCCGTCTTTCCTCAGGATGACCTTCATCTTCAATTTCCACAATGAGAAATTTCTCCCATTGAATTTTTCAATATCAAATTTCGTTGCTATAGTTTCTATTTCGGATAGCTCCCACTATTTCACTATCGTGAATAATTCTCTGGAACCTTCAAAAAATAGGTAATAACTTCTTATTTTCTGATGTTGGAGGATCCACCTTTTGGTGGCAACCACAACGACAATAAGCAGATATTACACACTCTAATCTTGCTCTGATACCAATTATTGCGGAAGACGGCTATCGGATAGAGCAAAATCGCAACTGATAATTTGAGAAAATAAAAATGAAGATAAAAGAGACACAAAATTTACGTGGAAAACTCCTGAATAATATAGGGTAAAAACCACGGGCAACGGTAGAAGAATTTCACTATGAGAAAATAGGAATTACAACTTCTCTCAATCGACCAAGGAGAAAACAATGATAATTCTCTTTTGATAAAAAGGAGAAAATAACTCTCAAGAAACTCTCTAAATTCTCTCTAGTATCGGAAGAAAGCTAGAATGCTTTGAGATGATTTTGAAGCTAAATGAGCTAGGGTATTTATAGTAGAAGCTTAAGGACTAATTTGTAAATACCCTAAATTACAATGACTAAATATGATTATCCCATTTAACAATTTTTCAAAAAATTGCTACACCTTTTTACTATGCATCATTCGGTACATTTGTTTATTTTTTTTCTTTTAAATTTCAACTTGCACCTTTCGGTGTATTGAATTTTCAACAGAGACAACGGGTAATACAATGCTCGACTAACTATAAAAGAGTAAAAATAAGACCATGATTACTTCAAAGGATGGGAGCTACTGCAAAAAGACAAGCCTCTGTCAAATCGTGAACTTAACGCAACAAGAACGCAGAACTTATTGTCCACGTGGGATCAATCAAATGGGATATCGGAACCAAAGAGAAGGGGAAATGGGAATAGGTTTGTTAATAAAACTTGGATGGAAAAACAATGCAAGACGCTGATGCTAGTGGCTTCCTTGCTAGCGACCATGGCATTCCAAGCCGGAATCAATCCTCCTAGTGGTGTTTGACATGAAAATGGCGAAAGTGAAGTTTTATACCCAGAATCAAACGTAACATATCATATTGCAGGATACTCCATATTGGCATATAATGATTCAAGCATATCCTGGCATCACTAAGCATCATCTTTCTGCTTATAAGTGGATTACCATTGAAGTATAAATTTTTTATGTGGGTTTTAATGATCACCATGTGGGCTGCCGTTACTGCAATGGCCGTCGCATACCTACAATCTGTCAACGCTTTAACACCTGCTCATGCAGAGACTTCGATAGTTAGTATTGTAGATATAGCCGTGTTGGTTTAGTTCTGCTTGATGCTGCTACTTTTTCTGGGACTCGCAAAGTTCAGATTGGTTAAGACTCTTCGAACACCAGTGATCAGATTGAAATATGCCATCTCCGCATGTCGGGGCAGCGCTTAAAGCCATCCACATACAATCATTCCACAAACTGCGGTAGCAAAAATTATAACCTTTTCAGCTGGCCTGGCTTGGCTTCTGGTGTAATTATGTATAAGCTTAATGGATTATAGTTAGTAGAATAGATTATTACATGTCTTACAGTTTAGATGTATTAATTCATAATAAATAAAAAATACCTATGTTGTTATCTTTAATGGTGGATTTTGAAGTTTTGTTCTTAGAATGTGTCGAATAGAAGATCCGGCAAAGGATAAAGTTTTTTTTTGATACATTATAATTTTTGTGGAATGAAATGTTAGAGATTTCAACCTTTAAACTACATCCGTTGGGCTGTAGGCAAGTTCTAGTTCAGGCTTATCTGTGTAGTGGAAATTGATAAAAACAATAAATTTAAGGAGCTGACCTTACCCTAATAATATTTATGTTTTATTGTGTTCTACTCGGTGATAAGTAATAAATCATATTTTAAATTATTATTTTATATTTAATTATAACGTACATGTGACTTTCAATATTTTAAACAAACCAATAGTTTTAAGCAACATGAAGTCAACGCCAATAAGACTTAAAACATATATGAAGAAAACAAATATTAATGAGTAAATTGCTCTTATATCAACATCAACACTGATTGTATGTATTCTTTAATTATATCATGTATGTAAGGCAAAAACTTGAACTTAATGAAGAACATCATCAATCACCGAGTCATGGTTTCTTTGGAGTTTTTGTGAATAGCAAATTAGAAGATGGAGAGAGAGCTTTACGAGGCAGCTGTAGAAGGAAATAAGACTTCATTGCTTAATCTGCTTCAAGAGGATGCACTACTTCTCGACAGATTCATCACGGATCGTTACCCTGAAAGCCATTGCACGTTGGCATCCATGCTCGGCCACCTCGAATTCGTCGATGAAGTTCTTATTTGTAAGCCTGAGCTAGCCAAAGAAACCGATTCTAGAAACTCGTGGCCACTTCACTTAGCTTCGGCAAAAGGGTACCTCCAAATTGCGAAAAGGTTACTGCAGGTCGATCCTGATATGTCTTGTTAGTGACATTGATGGAAGGAACCCTATTCATATTGCAGCCATGAAAGGTCACCTAGATGTGTTAAAAAAGTTGATCCAAGCCAGACCCTTGGTAGCTCGATTGCTGATGGACCAAGGTGAGACCATTTTACATATGTGCGTGAGGTGCAACCAGTTGGAGGTGTTGAAGTTGTCGGTGGAATGAGTTTCGGATCATGAGTTCTTGAATTGTAAGAATATGAGGGTAACACTATCTTGCATCTGGCGATAGCTGCTAAACAAACAAAGGTGTGTACTCGGTACTGATCCCGATCCTCTGTTAGTTCAGTTTTTCGAATTTATACTACAATTCATCCATCTTTAACTTCAATTAATTATGAACATATGCAGGCCATCAACTTTTTTGATTTCTAGTATAACGATAGACGTGAATTGTGTGAATGAAGATGGCTTCACGGCACTTGATCTTTTATCACGAAACCAACGAGACGAGAGTGATAAGGAGATTGTGGAATCACTTAAAAGGATGGGAGCTACACATAGACAAGATAAACCTTTGTCAAATTCTCAACTCAAGGCAATAGGACCAAAATCTTGTCGTCCACATGGGATCAGTCGAACGCAACATCAAAATCAAAGAAGAGAAAAGATGGAAAAAGGTCACTTAAAAATAAGAATACCGATTGGCTAGAAAGAAAAAGCAACATCATAATGCTAGTGGCTTCCCTGCTAGCCGCCACGGCATTCCAAGCAGGCGTCAATCTTCCCAGTAGCGTTTGGCAAGATAATGGACCCAGTGGTTCTTCATCGAAGGAATGAAACGGTAAAAATCATGCGGCAGGGTTTTTTGTATTGGCAGATAATCATCCATGAGTTTATACGTTATTCATCGCATGGAATACAACGGGTTTCTTGGCGTCTCTCAGCATTAACCTGTTGCTTATAAGTGGATTACCATTGCAACGTCGGTTCTTTATGTGGGTTTTAATGGTCATCATGTGGATTGCCATTACTCCAATGGCAGTAGCATATCTGGAATGTCTCATAGCATTAACACCTGATCATCAAAACTCTTTGCTGATCACTATATTTGGAATTGCTACGCTGGTTTGGATCGGCTTGATGCTCCTACGCCTTGGACACACGACTCGAGTCCTATTCAGATCGATCATGTATCTCAGAAAATCTGTGATGAGATTGATGAGTCCAATCGCCACGCACCTTGCTTGAGTTTAATGCGTACAATTTAGTTGTGTGAGAACTGAGAAGTGAGAACACTTCAGCTATAGCATTGGTTGTAAAATTTAATGTCTAAGCTTAAGCCTTAAAGGTAGGGTTTATGAATGGAAAAAGTTGTGTTTTATTGTATCTCAGAAATCATTTTTAGTTTAAGATAATTCGTTAAGCTTGTTTTATTGATCTCTAGATGCATTACAGTGGACACTTTACTGTATCTTGTTACATTGATACCTATTGGAACTCTTAATGGATTTGTGACGCATAATTCTGCACCCAAAAGAATTGAGACAACAACATCGTGTTGGATAAAAAGTTATATTTATAATTTGACGAGGGACAAAGTTATAAATGCAGACAATAATTAATTGATTCTTAAATCAGCTATACAAAGAGGTTATGGTCCCCAAAACAAAGATGTCTCGTTAAAATCCTCTCTAGACTTAAGTGGAGAAAAAAGAGTACACTCTATCGATGTCGGAATAAGGAACAACAACATAGCTCGAAAACAATAGACACACAAAGGCATCCAGAGACCATAAGGGGCACAATAGGCAACCCAAAGACTGCCAATAACTCGACCACCCAGATAAATGAAGCCTCCTGAAGACCAAGCTCGAAAACCTAAACCACGCTTCATCACAACACACACAACAATCTGCCATTGGACAACCATGAAACAGAGGAAAACCATCTGATACAAACTGAATTCCACGCTTAACGTCCACCACACCAAATGTGCTAAATAATTAACACAAGTTTACCCACAAATTGGAACTTTAAGAACAGAAAAACCACCACCTCACAACACATTAAAACCATAACCCACTTCCCCTACTGTTAAAAGTCAAAGAAATATCACACATCGTTCCAACAAAAACAACTTTGCTAGAGAACCAGAACACATGGCCATCATCACAGAAAGCAATCGAACCAGCCAACTATCAAACCAAGAGAAAAAGAAGCAGACAAACCAAATCCACACAATATAAAAAACCAAAGCAACCCCTGATAAGCTATAGCAGTATGCATCATAGATAACCGAATCAACTTGAGGCAAAACAATGAAACTTCAAACCAAAACAAGGGCACCATGCATCCATAGCCCAAAAACTAATTAAAAATGAGAGGAGCAGTCCTTACCTCCGAAACTAAGGTGGCGTTTGGTTTGTTGGAATGTTTATGAGGGAATTGAAATCTGTCAGGAATTGGAATCCAATTTCATATTCTGTTTGGTTGGCAGGAAATGGAATTGAAATCCAATTCCATATTTTGTTTGGTTCGCAGACATGTCAGATGAATTTGATTTCAGTAATGTAAAATGACAGAATTGTCATTCTTGTTTTTTGCTTTATTTTAGTTTGTTTTACAACTTACATATAGTAATATATTATAAAAATTAAAAAAATATTAAAATTTCATTTTATTGATTGATTATTCTTTCAATAAATTATAAAATTAATGCTAATAAACATCATAAGTTAAAATCATCGCAATCAAAATATGTTAATAAGTTACCAAAAGATAGAATAATATTTCGAAATTTCAATCGGAGTATGTTAATTAGTTACCAAAAACTATTTTTATTCAATATATGAATTAGAAACCCGACCTGACACGACACGAAATAATAATAAAAATTATTTTTATTCAATAAAAACATTGACTTAATTGAAAAAAATTATATATAAAGGGGTATTATTATAATTATTCATAAATATATAAGGTAAAATTATATATTTTTCGGGTCGGGTCCGGTTTTTTTCACCCTAAACCCAAACCCGACCCGAATATCACACTTAAAAAATCCCGACCCGACTCGACCTGAATATCACAATTAAAAAACTCGACCCGACCCGAACAAAATAAAGTTTCACCCGACCCGAATATATGAATTAGAAATCCGACCCGACCTGACCCGAATATATGAATTAGAAACCCGACCCGACCCGAAATAATAATAAAATTATTTTTATTCAATAAAAACAGTAACTTAATTGAAAAAATTATATATATAGGGATATTATTGTAATTATTCTAAATATATAAGGTAAAATTATATATATTTTCGGGTCGGGTATTTTTCACCCTAAACCCGAACTCGACCCGAATATCACACTTAAAAAAATCAACCCGACCCGACCAAAATAAAGTTTCACCTGACCCGGCCCGAATATATGAATTAGAAACCCGAACCGACCCGACCTGAAATAAAAATATGTTTATTCAATATATGAATAAGTTACCAAAAGATTGATGAGGGTAGTATAATCAAATTTCAATTCCCTCCAACAAGGGAATTGAATTCCATCCATTCTTGGATGAAATTCGCTTTCCCTAATTTGATGGAAAGTTGAAGCCATGAAAGATTCAAATTCCCTTGGAAAACTTGAACCAAACTTGGGAAAGTGGTGGAATTAGATTCTAATTCTCCAAATTCCAAGAATTCATATCAACCAAACATCACCTAAAAGTCGAAACCAAAGGTATTTGGGCATCTAGAAAAATTGAGAACAGTTGGGACTAAACCCGGCCATTTACTATTACACCAGAGACCGGTCCAGAGGAGGGCCCCCTCAAAGATTTGGGCACCGAATAGGATTTTGTTGTTGAACATGCCATCGTTTCTACCAAGCCAAATAGACCAAATTATCCCGAAAAGGGCCATCTTCCATATTGATTTGTAGTTACTCTGAATAGGTTGAGAATCCCAGTAGAAAAGGAGTGATTTTATGTTTCCAGGAATAATGAGGTTTATGTTCTAAAAGTTACACCACCTGTGCCAAACACCCCAAATTTTCTTATAGTGGCAGAAGAGATGAACAACCGTCTCCTGCTCCAGCTTACAAAAAACACAGACTGCCTCCCCCAAATTGGAAATACCACGTTTAGCAAGCTCCACAAGAGCTGGAATTTTATGTTGAACGAGATTCCAAACAAAAGCCTCCACCTTTGGTGGAGCTAAATTAGCACAAAATAAATTCTAGAGGGGATCCTTCTCGATTTGAAACAACCCAACAGAAACTACGCGGAGTAAAGATGCCATTCGGAGAGCCACTCCACCATAACTGATCAACATTGTAACTTACTATATTTGCTCCGTTGATAACATTCAAAAATTCAATCCAGATACTCTTTTCCCACTCAAAAAGATCTATCCTGAGTTCAATCTTCCATTCCCACAATCCGTTAGACTTAACGCCGAACTCACAAATCTTCCCACTCTTCTTTAGAGCAACAGCAAAAATCCGTGGAAACGATTCTTTAAGAGATGAAACTCCAGTCCACCTATCAACCCAAAAATCAATCAGATTCCCGTTACCTACCGCACACTTGATATTTTTAGTGAAAAATGTCATCATTCTTGATTAAAGGATGAGTAATGTTTCTCCAAACCCAAGAAGATTTTTTAGGATCAAAACCTCGGGGCAGTAACGATTGATTATCGTAGGCATACTTGGCATCTACTAACTTTTTCCACTAGCAATCTGACTCAGCGCCATACCCCCAAATCCATTTATTATGAAGCGATTTTGATTCCTCAGTCGCAAATCCAAAAAATCAAGGCCACCTAGAACTCTTGGCCTGCACACGTTTTCCCACTTCACCCAATGTATCGGCCTATTTGATTTCGAGCGCCAAATAAAATTTGCTATCAATTTATTCAACTCTGACGCAACCGAAGCGGGCATCTTAAAATGTGATAGAAAATACATTTGAAGTGCAACACCCCAACCGTATCCAACTCGAATACGAGTTTGAGATGTCACATTGACTTTTTGAAATAATATTCTTACAAAATAACAAAACGTTTATATTTATATTAAGAAAATACAATAATATACCGTTGAATCATGTTCGTTATAACAAATTTAAAAAAAGAAATATTTTTATAAATAATACTATACGGTATAACAGTACTGTGAACAGTAATAAACAATACTATAAATAGTAGTGAATAGTGCCGTGACAGTACCGAATGCTAAAATTTTCCAGAACGCTACAGGGATATCGATACACTGCTACAATGTACTGATACCCTTGCTACAGTAATTTCGGTCAACATGTATAAAACTCATAAAAACTTAAACTTTTATTACTATAACATTACCATTTACATAAATACGTTTAAAATATTACAAAACTCGATCAGAGCATATCGTATTCAAATATTTATTTACATGCCAACCAATATCAGTATTACAAAATACATACTATATAATTCTTTTCTGATATGATCTTGGGAAAGGAGAAACTGATCGGTCTTACTTAACTTTACTCATTCTTCTTGTCGGAACCTACGTGTGAAACAATCACACGCTAAGTCGTTGATTTAGTGAGGCATATAAAACATATAATAAAACCATAGAACATTTCATATAACAGAATACATACATGCATATATACCATTATTACTATCATGTAATATATTTCACTCAACAATACATACAATATTACATATAAATCTTGTAACATATCATATCACAAAGCATATACATCGCATACCGTGTATTTATTAATATCTTTTTATTAGCTCATGTACACGTTGAATTCAGTGTAAACAATAATAACACGATATCATATAATAATCCAAATACTTTTGATATCTTTTATAGGCCATGTACATTACTGAGAACTTAAAGTATTCGAGTACATTGAGGTTGTGCACTATTGCTGTCACCACAGTTCGTATAAGTCCCACTGAGTGGCATATAAATTTGTCCCGAAGGACCTATGTATTTATCCTGAATGACCTCTGTATACTATATATGTCCCGAAAAACCGCGTAGACCCTCAACTTTTGGCATGCAACTATATCTATAGCTCTCGTATCATATAACATGGGCATTATCATTTATAACAGTTCACATCACTTGTATCATATAAACATATTATCTCATAACTCATTCTCATATAGCTGGTATATCATTCTTGTCATATAACCCATATCACATAGGTTCATATCAGTAACATATATCGCATGTGCATATATTCTCATATGTTCACATAACTTGGATCACATATACATATAGTCACATGAATCACTTTTACATATCTTATATCAACTTTTCATGTCATTTCACACTTCTTGTTACATTGCTTATATCTTATTCTTATGTCATCTCATATATACATATATTCACATATACATGTCATTTCATTATCCTTATTATTACTCTTATCGTCGCCATTAATCTCTTTTACTTACCATATTCATATCATATAACATATATCACTACACCAAGAAACAAAAATTTCATCATGTAATTTTTATAACGTATTTCATATTCTTAAATAATCTTATAGATTATTTATATTGTTTCATATGGCTTATCATACTAACATATACTTATCCAAATCATGTAACATACATAAAAATCTTGTTAACACATATACTCATAACAAACACATACTTCTATGAATTCATGCATTTTACTATTGGAAATAGACTTATCGTAAGTCTTATTTTCCATTGAACATCATATACTAAATAATGTGCACTCACCTGACCTCAGTAGTCAATATCGAACTCTTATCTCTTCTCGATGACTATTACTTGTAAACTCATCCGGGCGTTGCTCTCGATCGATATCTACACAATCATATATTTTTAAGGAAATTATCAGATATATATACCTTGTAATTTGATGCTAATAACTTAAAAGAATTTAATAGACTCATATTCACTTTTTTCTTTAGGGGATATCGATACCCTCCCTAAGGTATCAGTACCCTCCCTAAGGTATCGATACCCTTATTACATTCTGGAATTTTCGTTCAAGAGGGTATCGATACACATACATAGGGTACCGATACACTCTGCCCAAAACAAACTTTTTCAACCGAAAATTCATCTTTTTCAGCTTAAATTCTTCATGTTTCATTCATTTTTCTGTTCTTAACTCAAGTACATATACTTAAACTAATTTCTACTCATTCAATACATCCTTAATCTCAAATTTCCATATTTAATATGAAAATCAATAATCATACCAAATTTTCAAGATACTCTAAATCCAATTCTATCACTTCATATCTCTTAATTAAGTTGATGACAAGTCAAATTCAACTTTTAATTCTTATTATAAACTCTATTTCAAGATTTCACTTAAGAACTCCAAATCTTTAATCTTCTCTAACTCCTTTATCTTTTGATTTTAAGATAAGTTAAGCTTTCCTTAAGCTTAGTTATCATCTAATGATCAAAACCCAAACTTTAAATCAACAAATAATCAAACAACTCACCTTTGCTTGGCTTTTGATCTTGAGCACACGGGGAAGAAGAAAGCAAGAAGAAGAAGAGAGTTTTCAGCTCCCCTCTCCCCCTTACGTGTTTCTCTCCTATTAAAGGGGAAAAAATATCGTTCATATCAAATGACCAATTTGCCCTTTACTTCCTTTAATAATTACTAACAATAATTCATAAACTATTTCCAGATAAGTCATTAAGCTATTCAACTATTCTACTTTAATCACCAACTTCTGAAATTTTACAATTTAGTCACTAACCCGTAGTTTGGGATGTTACAAGAAGATTAGCTAGGACCGACCTTACCAAAGTTAAGTGCCCCCCAAAGGAAATGAAATTCCCTTTCCACCCTCCAAGCCTTGATCGAAATTTATCAATGATAGGCTTCCAAAGCTTTGGAGAATTCCTCAATTGACCTAATGGAAGACCAAGGTATTTAGAAAAGAGATTGCCCCATCCACACTTAAATAGAACAACCCACTCTTGGATGATCCCCTCAACTACATTGATTACAAAAAGAGTATATTTTTTTTCATATTTAGTTTTAATCCTGCTACAACTTCAAACAATCTAAGAATTTTCTTAATGTTTAAAACTGCCTTAACACTCGCTTCAGAGAACACAATTAGGTCATCTGCAAACTAGATGTGTGAAATGCGAAAACTACCCGAACCAACTGACACTCCTTTACACAACCCCACTTCTACAACTTTGAACAAGGGACTACTAAGCGCTTCTCCCACTAAGTTGAAGAGGAAAGAAGACAGGGGCATCCTTGTCTAAGACCTCTTGGATGTTGAAACTGCGAGGACACCCATTTATCAATAAAGAAATGGACAGAGATAAAATGCAGAAGGATATCCAGCGTCGCCACCTATTCCCAAACCCCATCTCCTTCATAACAAAGTCCAAAAAAGCCCAATCAACCGTATCATAAGCCTTCTAAAAGTCAGCTTTGAAGATTACAACTTCTCTTTTCCTACGAATCAGATCATCAATAGTTTCATTTGCAATAAGGGAACAATCCACATTTTGTTTTCCTGCAGAGAACACAAATTGATTTTCCCCAACAACTTCATTCATACAGACCACCAACCTTCTGGAAAGGACCGAGACAAAATTTTATACATATTGCCTACAAGAGAAATAGACCTAAAATCATCGATGAGATCAACATTTGGCTTCTTCGGAATAAGTGTGATAAACGATTTATTTGTGTCGCCCTCTTTCCAGTCACCTTTACGGAAGTCAGCGAAGAACTCCATAATAGCACCCTTCAGGAAATGCCAGAACTTCTTATAGAAATCCAGGTTGAAACCATTCGGACCAGGCGCTCTATTCCCATCAGTCGAGTTAATTGCATCCCAAACTTCTCCTTATGAAAAAGGTCCTTCCAAAAATCTTTTTGATTCCAAGCTCAATTTCTTCAGATTAATCCCTAAACTTTTGATAGGTATAGTGCTCTTCTTATTAAAACTCTCTCTGTAGTGCTTCTCGAAAGCCAAAGAAATTCGAGTTGGATCTGTAACACTACATCATTCACCCAGATGGACGCTATGTTATTATAGTTGCCTCTTATGGCTGTTGATAGGTGAAAAAACTTGGTGTTTTTATCACCCTCCTTGAACCACTTTAACCACAATTTATGTAACCATTCCCTCTCCTCGTTTCTGTGAACTGACCACAACTCGACCTTCAGCTTGATTAGTTCCTCGACATCCTCGACATTAACACCAGAACAAAGCAGAGAATTTTCTAAAGAATCAATTTTTTCCTCAATAACCTTCACCAAAGCTGATACCTTTGAGTTGGCCGCCTTTGCCCAATCTTTAGCAACTAATTTACATTCTGCTAGTATGGCATCAATGCCACTACTTTGACTTTTAAGATTAACAGCTTTGATTAAATCTTTGAAACCTCGGTCATCAGCCCAATGCGTGAAACACTTGATTGGCCTCTTAGTTTGAACCATTTTTTCTTCGGATAAAAAAACCGGCTTATGGTCCGGGAGACATCTTGGAAGAGTGAATTGCTTAAGATGGGGAAAGCATAATACAATTGCCGGAGAAATAAGAACTCTATCGAGTCTGCTAGCTGAAACAGAAACACCGTCTCTGAACCACGTGAATTGACTCCCTAACAAAGGGAGCTTAATCAAATTCCTTTCATTGATAAAATCAGCCAAGGATCGCATCGAACTGGCGCAAGCTGAAGACCCACGTTTCTCCTCTGACGATAGCACAGTGTTAAAGTCCCCTCCTATAATGATGGGCCTCTCAGCTGATTCAATATATTCCGATAGCTGGGCGACAGTTCCCTTCTCTCATTAGAGCAATTCGGAGCATACACATTTATAACAACAATGTTGATTTTAAACTGAACCAGAATCCCTTCAAGAGCTAGAAATCTGTCTCTGAAAACTGACCTTTCTGCTTTAAAAAAATAGGGATCCCAAAAAGATAGTAAACCACTTGAAGCTCCTTCCGACGGAAATACAACACTCTCTCTTAGCCTGAAATTCTGTAACCGTTTCAACACCCATGGCTTGACTAACGATAATTTACTCTCCTAAATTAATACCATTCTAGCTTGACTTGTTTAGATCGCTCGACTAACGGATCTCACATTTTCATTTCTACCCAAGCCTCTTACGTTCCATGTCAAGACAATGCAACTCATGGAGCAATAAAATATCACACAAATGAAAACTAAACAAAGAGAGAGAAGATCAATTACCTTCTTCCCTCTCGAGTTCTGCAAGTTTCTCCAAACCACATTCTCAGTATCTTTGAAGACAATTCCCAGTTTTTTTTTTCCAGCTTCAAAAATAGCCGTAGCATCTAAACAATCTTCCAGAGGGACCATAGAAACTCTTGATCTGATGAAACCCTTTGATTTCAGATCCCATGTCTTAGACGATTCACCCTGAGTACAGTTTAGTTTACCCTTCTTTGACTAGGACCGCTTCTTAAATTTTTCTGTTTGAACTAGGTAATTTTTGGATTGATAACTCTCTGTCGAACTCAGGCCCCGCTAGTATTTTATTACCAATAGAAGGTCCATTCAACACCGGCGCCAGAGCTTCGGTAGAGGGGATCACATCAATATGGACCTCTTGTAATCTAGATTCATTTGACACAGTGAAGCCCAAAGAAACCTGTGAAACTTGCGGATCGATTAACGGCCCATCATACATTTCCCTGGCTTCTAAATGAAGTGGCCAACTACTAGACATCACTGGCACCTCGTGCAGATTAATACTGCTGTAGGACCGATTTGATACGGGATGGAGATGCTCGATAGGCACAAGGAAGTTGACATCATATTCTGACACAAAAGCAACATTGCAGCGTTCATTTTCCACTTGCACTTCTAAATCATTATTTACCTCCGTTTCTTCAACTTTCATAACTGCAGCCAAACGCATGGGAGAAGTAACCGCTTCGAAAAAGGACTCTTCCCCTACCTCGTCAGACGGCGACCTTCCGTCAATGAAAACCCGTTCTGTTTCAAACACCTCAGTTCTAAGTTTTATCGTTGAGATACTTCCATTGAAGTTTATCAATAATCTGTCGGGAATAATTGATTCCTTCTGGACAGACACCAGAATCTTTGCTTCATCTAATCGATTTCTGTCTCGGGTATCCTCATCGATGCTTAGAACTGATCCCCACCTACTTCCGATCTCTACGAAAAACATATCAGACCAAAGTGACAGTGGAATGTCTTTCATAGCAACCCATAGTTTTATCTTCCTCTTTCCCTCAAACCCATCTAATCTTTCAAGGTCAACGAACCATAACTCCAGCAACTCCTTTCTTCAATTCCAGCATTCAGAAAACGACTCCTGATTCGGGAACTGAAGCACTGTTAGTAATCCATACCAGGGACTCACTTAACATCAAAACCGTCAGACCTAAAGGCTTCTTGCACTATATCCACATTGTACATCGACTTAAACTCCCCCACAAAGCATCGTTTGTTCCATTCCAACTCCGACTTCGATAATGTAGACTGTCTTTGATAACGAAGACGATTCGTCAGTAGGTAATTCATCCACCACCATGACGGGAATGACATTCGAGTTACTGCATGAAAGATCCTCTTTGCCATCCACTTTGGAACTGTTAGAAATCAAACTTGATTTCTAAAAGTTAACAAAGTCAACAAAAACAGCTAAGATACGGGAAATGACTTGCAACATCAAAATGTTTAAGTTATAACAAAGTCAAATATGGCACCAATAAAGTGATGAGGTGGCAGTAAATTGATGCTATAAAAGCTTGGGAATTAGCAGCACAAATTCATTCACTTCAAGCAAGTATTAAGGTGGCATAGAGAAATTGAGAAGCATCCAGAGTAGTTCAAGGCGGTTTATTACATTTATATATATGGGTGTTCTAGTTTAGTTTAATATATGAACAAAAGTGAGAAAAAAATGAAGGCTTGGAAAAGCCAATGAAAAATAGCTTAGCAAAGCTATTAAAGAGAAAGGGTGAAGCTTAGCAAAGCTTAGGAATATGATTGAAAGCTTAGAAAAGATATGAGATAATTGAGTAAAGCTTAGAAAAGATATGAGAGAATTAAGTAAAGCTTAACAAAGCTTAGAATAGCGAGGTTGTGTTTGTAAACAAGCCGCAGCTAGTGTTGTAGTGTTGTAATATTGTAATATTGGGGTAACGTCGTTGTAACGTATTTTGCCTCGTATCATTAGTAATTTCGAGTTGTAAAATTATTGAGTGTCCACCTACGCTTCCAACAAGTGACCTCAGAGCTTGGTTCGAGTTTAACATGGTGGAGAAGATGACCAACATGATTCAACTACAAATTCTGAGATTGACAAAGACGAATTATGAAATTGGGGTAACGTTGTAACGTATTTTGCCTCGTATCATTAGTAATTTCGAGTTGTAAAATTATTGAGTGTCACCTACCTACGCTTCCAACAAGTGAACCTCAGAGCTTGGTTCGAGTTTAACATGGTGGAGAAGATGACCAACATGATTCACTACAAATTCCTGGCCAATGAAGAAAAGAAGGTATTGAAGGAATCCCGAAAAAAAGATAAAAGAGTGTTGTTCTTTATTTTTCAAGGAGTAGACGAATCTACCTTTGAAAAAATTATGATGCGAAAACTGCAAAACAAGCATGGGAGATTTTGCAAAAATCTCTACAAGGTGTCGAAAAAGAAAAGAAGAATACATAGCCGCAGCAACATGTACTTGCCAGGAAATGAAGAATAAATTCAAGACAAGTGGAGAAAAACTTGAAATGGAAAATCAAGTTTGAGGGGGAGTGTTAGAAATCAAACTTGATTTCTAAAAGTTAAAAAAGTCAACAAAAGCAGCTAAGATATGTATGCTTAATCATTAAGCATGTGGGAAATGACTTGCAGCATCAAAATGTTGAAGTTATAACAAAGTCAAATATGGCAACAATAAAGTGATGAGGTGGCAACAAATTGATGCTATAAAAGCTTGGGAATTGGCAACACAAATTCATTCACTTCATGCAAGTATTAAGCCGGCAGAGAGAAATTGAGAAGCATCCAGAGTAGTTCAAGGCGGTTTATTACATCTATATATACGGGTGTTCTAGTTTAGTTTAATATATGAACAAAAGTGAGAAAAAAATGAAGGCTTGGAAAAGCCAATGAAAAATAGCTTGGAAAAGCCAATGAAAAATAGCTTAGCAAAGCTATTAAAGAGAAAGGGTGAAGCTTAGCAAAGCTTAGGAATATGATTGAAGTTTAGAAAAGATATGAGATAATTGAGTAAAGCTTAGAAAAGATATGAGAGAATTGAGTAAAGCTTAACAAAGCTTAGAATAGCGAGGTTGTGTTTGTAAACAAGCCGCAGCTAGTGTTGTAGTGTTGTAATATTGTAATATTGGGGTAACGTCGTTGTAACGTATTTTGCCTCATATCAATAGTAATTTCGAGTTGCAAAATTATTGAGTGCCCACCTACGCTTCCAACAAGTGACCTCAGAGCTTGGTTCGAGTTTAACATGGTGGAGAAGATGACCAACATGATTCAACCACAAATTCTGAGATTGACAAAGACGAATTATGAAATTTGAGCATTCAAATGAAGGCGTTACTAGACTTCCAAGATTGTTGAGATATCATCGTGGATGGTTACACCAAGCCTAAAATGCAGCAGTGGAAACAGCCCTGGCCAATGAAGAAAAGAAGGTATTGAAGGAATCCCAAAAAAAGATAAAAGAGTGTTGTTCTTTATTTTTCAAGGAGTAGACGAATCTACCTTTGAAAAAATTTATGATGCGAAGACCGTAAAACAAGCGTGGGAGATTTTGCAAAAATCTCTACAAGGTGTCGAAAAAGAAAAGAAGAATACATAGCCGCAGCAACGTGCACTTGCCAGGAAATGAAGAATCAATTGAAGACAAGTGGAGAAAAACTTGAAATGAAAAATCAAGTTTGAGGGGGAGTGTTAGAAAACAAACTTGATTTCTAAAAGTTAACAAAGTCAACAAAAGCAGCTAAGATATGTATGCTTAATCATTAAGCATATGGGAAATGACTTGCAGCATCAAAATGTTGAAGTTATAACAAAGTCAAATATGGCAGCAATAAAGTGATGAGGTGGCAGCAAATTGATGCTATAAAAGCTTGGGAATTGGCAGTACAAATTCATTCATTTCAAGCAAGTATTAAGACGGCAGAGAGAAATTGAGAAGCATCCAGAGTAATTCAAGGCGGTTTATTACATCTATATATACGGGTGTTCTAGTTTAGTTTAATATATGAACAAAAGTGAGAAAAAATGAAGGCTTGGAAAAGCCAATGAAAAATAGCTTAGCAAAGCTATTAAAGAGAGAGAGTGAAGCTTAGCAAAGCTTAGGAATATGATGATAACGTCGTTGTAACGTATTTTGCCTCGTATTAATAATATTTCGAGTTATATAAATTACCAAGTGTCCATCTACGTTTCCAAGAGGAACAACCCATTTCTCCACAGAGCACGTCCTTGTAAGACCTAGCATCTCTAATTGACGATCGTTTTCTCCAAATCCATGCCTTTTTCACACCAGCCTTCGCTTGCTGATTCATTGGTTTTTTTGCCATAAAAATCCTAATAGTATCCCCATCAATCAATCTACAATTGCCTTCATCTACAGCGTGTGTAGCATCCTTCAAACTCTTAAATCTGATAAAAGCAAAAGTAGTCAACCTAAATTTCCTCTTCGCATTCCTGTGAGCAATGAAAACGTCGATTACTATTCCGTAGACTTGAAAAGCTTCTCTCGGTGCAGAATGGTGGACCCTCTTGCACACATTATCCACGAAAACTGATATACCCCTCCTCCGATTATCTCCCTCGTTGCTCTGCGATGGAAATCTGCGACCTTTCATCTCCAGAGCAATTTCTTTGTCGATAGGGTGTAAACATATGTAACAATTTTTTTAATTTCATTTGCGAAGGTTTTTTTAAACTGGTAATACCAGTTACTTTTGTTAAATGAAGAATAAATATAGTAAAGTTATAAAATTCTCTACAAAAATGAAAAGTAAAATAATTATGTCAACTTGTAATTTCACTTTTAATCATTAGAATATATAGAATAATTACTAAAGAGTAAATAGGACCATACAACGAAGACACTTAAAAGGATGGGAGCTACTTCATATTGGCATATAATCACATATGGACTGAAGGGAAACGAAAATTTTAAATTAATATATGTTTAAAATTATTTTTTTCTATTTGTAATTGATAATTTATTTTTGATTTTTTAATTTTTTTATAAGACTGCATCTTTTAAAAATTTAAAAATCTTTCGTAACATAAATTTTGCGTCCGTCGCTTCATATAACCATTCTAAGCCTATATACCATCTTCCTCCAAGCTAATACATTTGGTTTCCTGGCTTCTCTAAGCATCATCTTGCTGCTTATAAGTGGGTTACCATTGAAGTATAAATTCTTTACGTGGA